CTCACTACTGCAATAGGCTGGAAAAAAACCACACTTGGCTAGAAAGTCCCACACTGCAGGACTTCTGTTACTTTTAAAGAGACAAAGAGCAGATTAATTGAAGAATTGCCTATTAATTAAGAATTAATTAATAGGCAATTAATTAATTGCCTAATAATTAAGAATTGCCTATTCAGGGTCCAGGGTGTACAATGGAAGGAATTCAGGTCTGAGAAAAGCAGCATTCCCCCTCTCCTTGGAAAAATTTCCTGAGAAGATCAGGGAGCCCTTGAAGAGGCAGTGTGAGACCCACTATTAGACATTTGGGACACCTCAGGCTAAGCCAGGCCAGTTACAGTTGAGTTGGTAGAAGAAGCCACTCACTTCATGAGGCTGCCTGGAGGAGAACTTTGGCTGCTGCCTTACTGATCCTGCTACTTGTTCTCCCAAAGGATTTGGAGACCAGGTAAACAAGCATCAGAGAAACATAACAAGCATCCCAAGAATCAGTCTATAATACCATGTCTTCTCTGCAAAATGAGGAGTCATAGTGTCTCCAAACCCAGCTGAAATCCAGGTACCCGTCACTTACCGAGACATGCTGCAGAAGGATTCAAATACCCACAGACCACACTGAGCTCTGCAAATACCCCACAGACCACACCGAGCTCTGCTTCTTTCTACTCCCTTGCAAGGACTTCAAACTTAGGCTGGTGATGTCTCACTACTTGTCTCCATCACAAAATTGTCCTAATCATTGGATTTTAGATAACCGAGATCAGACTTGTTTTATCTGGAAAGATTATATATATATATATATATATATATATATATATATATATATATACACTTACCCACCTTATTAGCTCATCATCTTGGCTGGTAGCTTTTATCCTAAAAATTTATTCCATAAATTTAGAGTATTGAATATTGGTTTTGATATTCAATATTTTATTGAATATTTTTATATTGGTCTCATAAACAACAAATAGCATGTTAAACACTGTTGCAGTCCAGTGCAACTCTTCATTAAAAAGAAAATAATGTACATTTTATATGCTTTATGTTTGTTAAAGTATTGATCTACTGTATTGATCTTGTCCATTTTAAGCTACTGCTATAAACTCAAAATATTATTTCGTATTGTCACACTGGAATGTCAGCGTCTTCCTATTTCCATCCAAACAAATAATTCAATTCAACCCATATAAACCACCCCATCTGAAAAAGTTACAGCACTCTTTTTTTACTTCACAAAGACTAAGGCTTTGCTAATTTTATAGTGGGTGTGATTTTTAAAACTGTGTTTGTACAATTCAAATGGAAAGAAACCAAATGGCTTTTCTCTCGCTAACAGGGGCTTGTGGAACAGCACACTGCATGTTGTTTCTGTTACTGTACCAGTGTTTCAACTTTCACCAGTCTCCATGCCAGTAAAAAGACACAATAAAGGAATTCAGACTCAGTCAAGGTTTACTGTGTTCTTTTCAAACAGAAGGGTATGGGTGCTGCTAAAGCCACAGAAGAACATTTATAGCAAAGGTTTTACCACGCCAAATACTATGCTAATAGTAAAGCTTTCAAGGAGAGAGTCAGGGCCAGCCATGCTCAGAGGATGATTAAGATATGCATCAGACTAATGAAGAATGGAGCAGGAAATTCAGGAATGGAAAAAGCAGCAATCTCTCTGCTGCTCCAGAGCAGCTTCCTTACAGTCACTTACCAAGGAGTGGGCAGAAGCAATCGCTTTCCAGTATTTACAATTTCACTTAAATTTAGCACAATGCTATAAATCTTGCCCAAAAGCTATTAAGACAATCTTTTCTTCCAAAGAGCTTTTCAAAGGAATATTTAATTCTTTAAATAAAATACATTTTAAATGCGAGGATTTTTATTATGTCAAAATAATTTACACCTATGCGTTTACAGCTACACAAGAGGATATCTGACCAGTATTTGGCAAGTATTTACCAGCCCTCATCTGGGTACGTAACACACAAATGCAAATACCTCAGAGGAAAAATGGAGCTGATGTATTTCTTTAAAAGTGTTGTTTGTTGGCTTTTGGGTTTTTCGAAGTGTGTGTGTGTGTATAGATTGACATGAAATATTTTAATGCCTCTTTATTTAAATTACATCTAGAAAGGACAACTTCACCTATTTACATGCAAACAAATACTTCAGACATCCCCATTACCACCTCCCTTGATACAACTAAAACAATGAATATGCAAATCAAGAACACCTGAAAGCAGAGCTCCAATCTACCCAGCTCAAAAAACGTAATCATAATTGTTGTATCCTTTATTTCTCTTTTTTCTCCTTCATCAGATCTCTTCTCCTCTCTTCTTGCTGATCTCAATGGAAAAATATGGAATTCAAGGTGGCCTACAGACATTTGAAGGTGCTGGAGAGAAGACATGTGTCCCCTTCTACAGTTTTCTTACTCTCCTTCTTCTCAGGAGGAGGAAGACACATTCAGAACATACCAGAAAGCAAAAGCTTGAGCTGTGTGTCCTCCCAGAGCTGTCATTGCTCCTGCCACATGGAGGAGGCAGAGAAAAAGGAAAGCTGGGCATCAGGCACATCCCTTGCAGGGGAAAAGTGTAAGCACATGAACAGAGCAATAAGCAGCCTTTCAAAGCTCAGAGAACAACAGAACTTCTTTTCCTTTCACTGAAAATACAGAAACAGGATGTGACTGAGTTTCCCATCACTGCAAAGGGCTCCCATGCTGCCAGTGTCACAGTGATGCAGTTTTTCAGGCAGGTGGCCACTGCAGGAGGGCTCAACTACACCAAATGGAATGCAAAGTTTTCCTTTCAAATGTAATTCACTCCTTATTTCCAGGGGGAAAACAAAAAAGCAAAAAAGAAGTACTAGGGAAAATACTCTTACCATCTGACACAGCTGGTCTTAGTAAAGAGAGTAAGAGGAAACTTTCATGCTAGAAAATCTCTGACATTTAATATCAGGGCCATAAAAAACTCAGAAAGTACCTTAAGTATTGAGAAAAACAATGTGCAATCCACTGAGATCTTCCAACACCGGCAGAACCTGAGGTAAAATCATAAAAAACTCAAGTCCAAGCACAGAGCCCAGTGAAAGCAGTTCCCTTTTCTCCAGCCAGAGTTGCCTCATCTCACAGCTGCAGTGGAAGGAGCCTTTCAATACACCACAGCAATCAGAACCAGAACAGGCCACTACGATTTTTTGCTTCTCAGCAAATGCCGCAATTGATAAACAGCACAATTTCCAGCTTCCCTACAAAAAACCAAGATGTTCTGCAGCATGGTGAACAAGCAGTGAACGCTGTATACATGCCCATTTTAAGAAGTCCAATATGTGTCATTGCACAATATGACATCTGGGTGTGAGTTTCGGGTTTTCTGCACTTCTGCTCAGTAAAAAATGGTTTATTTTGGTGACTCAAGTGCCCCCCTCTCCTTGTTTCTTATTTTATCCCTATTTATCATTTACAAGACTACCTCAAACTTTACTTCACCCTTTGAATTTCAACTACAAAGTTAACAACTGATTATGATTCTAGCGCAAGATAAATACACAATTCACAGAAGAACAAAATTCTGTGAATATTACTTTATGCTACATTTCAACAACAACAAAAAAAATCAGGAATTTGTTTCACCATCAACTCCTAATATTTCCATACAGCAGTGTATCAGGCTCCTGTATGCAAGACATTCAGTAAGTGTCAGCCACTGTGATTAAAAACTAGGTTACTGCAGCCTTCACTGGATACACAGGAAGGGGACACAGAGAAAAGGGTGTCTAATCTAATCATTCACACAAAGGAGCAAAGGTCACAGATGGATCATTACCCCTTGAAGACAAGAAGCAATTACTTTTATAACAAAGATGAATTTCAACATTAATAATAATAATAAGCATAATAATTGCTTTTAAAGTGTATGTCACAGAAAAATAGTGGAGGCTTCTTAACATTATTATCGTGAGTACTCACACACATATTAAAAACTTAAACAAGACTTTATTGTTTACTGAACCTTCCCTCCTTCAGACAAATTTGTAATAGCCTTTTCTTAGCTACTCCTTTTCCACTTCTTTAAAACGGGTTACAACATTACTGTTACAGAAATCTAATATTTCTGATTAATAATCTACTAAATGCAAGCTCTAGGTATTTGCAAAGACCATACAGTATCTTACAGTTGTAAGGAAATAATGAGTTGGTTGTACATCTAATTCTACAGTTTCTTGGCAGTTTACTCTAGGGTCACAGATAAAAGTCTGTTATTCTTATTCCATGAGGACCTTTCTCTCATGATGAAAAGTTCAGCAAGAAGTAGACCTAACAGTATGCATAATACAAAAATATTGCTGTATAGAGCCAATAACAGTTTTCATATGCCTAACATATCAATTTCCATGTTTTACTGAGTATGGGACATGATGAGAATGAGGTTCTAAAAGAGCTATTGAAAGCCATTGTGTCTTAATCTGTTTCTCTAATATTTTGAGAAATTGAGATTTAAAGTGTGTCCAGACACGGATTTCAGCTTAAACTCCCCTGAACCAGGCAGCCTTAACATAAACCTCATTACCTATGTAATGTAAATACTACCTAAATAATGCCATCCTATGCAAGAGCTGCACAACTTTCAGTTGCTATTTACAATGTCTGCTTTCAGGACACAAATCTTGTTAACTTTTTAAGAAAAAAATCATCATGCTCTGTAAAATATAGACTAGGAGCATTGTTAACCATTTACATGCCTTTAAAACCCCTCTTCTAAAACTGCAAAACTTCTCCACGGTTCTCAATCTTTTTAAGGTTGTTGTATTCTTTAAAAAAAATGTCTCTCCCTTATATACCAGAAAGATCCTAAGGTAGCCATGAAGGCCACCTGAAACCTGTTGACAAGGATGGGGAGGAACCAAGAATGGGTGGGTTTTGCCCAAGAGGGTGATGTGGAAAAAGATAAGCTGATATCTTTCACATTATTACTCTGTAAGGGAGACTATGTCACATTGCTCACCCATGCTCATCTTAATAGGTAAATTTTCTCTGCTTGCAGCCTCCACAAGGTGTCTCCTGGCCTCCATCACAGCCTCCTTTTGTTTGAGGTTCATGAAAGACTCCCAGAGAGCTTTGGCAGCTGGATCACTGTAAGAAAATGACACGACTATAGTAAACATTGCTTGAATAATGGAGTAAACTTACATCAACATTTATGTTTTGAGATGAATGCTTCTACTTACTAATCTCTAAGGTAGGGAGCATACAAGCAAAAATAAAGTGATATAAAATCTTGATTATTCTTAGCAGAACAGTTGCTACAGTTTTACAGAAAAGCTAGATTTTTTTGCTACCAAGTACAAAGCATTAGAATTCACATATAATAAATAAGCATGTAATTCTAAAAGTAACCACTACTGTTCAACCATGAGAATATCAGAAACAGTCCAAATTTCTTCAGTTACTAAAAAGCTATGGAAAGGATGGGGTATAACATCCCCATGAGAGTTTATATCCCAAAGTTGACACTCCCAGTGCTGAAGGCTGTTGTCATAATTTTGATGAACTACTGTCACTTTGAGTTTCAGGGATTCTCCGTATGTGAAATGAATAATCCATAGCAGAAATTAACTGTCCTTATGATTTCTGCAATTACAGATTTCCTTTTTGTTGTTGTTGCTGCTAAACTTAAATTAGGTATTTGTGTAGCTCATCTGCACTCAGTTCCCTGTCAGTATTCTCCTTCCTCCAGGACACTGCAGTTGTTGCTTGTGTGAATGAATTCAGTGTTCTCTCAGTGGCAAGGGAGGACAGGGCAGAAAAATCCCTTGCTTGGGGCTAAAGCCACACATTGGGATTAACTATGTTGATTTTTTAAATGTATTTTTTGTTTGAAAGGAAAAGCTTCCCTCTGTTTTCTCCTCAGGAGACATTTAACTCCTAAAGACATTTTGATGTCATTTACAACATGCGTATAAACATGCCAAGACAAGCTTTGTTTCATGGAAATAGAAATCCATAATAATTCATTTGATACCATTCCAGAGCAGCTGTTCTTATGCTCTGCTGCAACAGCGGGGCTGTATTTAGTAAATCTGTGCTGTCTCCCAAACCAGGTAAGAGGATCACCAAGCCCCACTTCTGACATCCAAGCAACCCACATCCTCTGTCAAAGCCTGAGTGGGTGCAAGGCCTGTGGGAAAAAGGTTGAGTTATCCTTCTTCTGAACAGATCACAAATGAATAGGAAGTGCAAATTTCACCCTACTGCCATGAGTGACAAAGAAAAAAAATAAAAATCAGATGACCTAACACAGTCTTTCCATTTCTCTTTCATACAGTGCCACTTGACCTCCTTCTAAACACAGAGGCAGCAGGCAGCACCTCCCAAAAGCAGCTGGGGCACCTGCAGCAGCTCCCTCACCTCCATCACCAAGTGCGATCTGAGCACTGGTGCTGTGACTTTTCATGGGCAGCAGCTCCAAGAAGATTACTCACAAGAAAAACTGCAGTAATATGTAACGTACAATAGTGCAAGAAATGAGAGATTTCCAAAGCAACTGGATGCTTCAATACAATATAAAAATTTCTTTATGGAAAGGGTTGTCAAGCACAGGTACCCCAGGTAAGTGGTGGAGTCACCATACCTGGAAGTGTCCAAAAATTAGGAGATCTGACACTTTGTGATATGGTTTAGTGGGCATGGGAGTACTCAGTCAAAGGTTGGACTTGATGATCTTGGAGGTCTTTTAATAGCTCTGATTCTGTGATACTCAGGTACGCTATTTTTACATATTATCTACTAAATCTTCTCCCCATCCAACACCACTTGTAAATGCATTGTGTTGATCCTGTTCACATCACATTCACAGGGGATGTCTCGTTGTCATTTACACCTGGGCCTGAGGTTTGGATTTTATAAGGCCACTGCATTGTCTGATAACTAATCCCTTCCTGAATATACAGTTCCAATATCAAATCTATAGAGATCAGGAACTGAACCTGAAACAGCAGGAAGCTAGGTTTAAAAATATTTTTTTCTGTATTTGGAAGAAAAAAAAAAGTAAAATTCCTGTAGAAGATCTTTAGCCTGTTCTCATTCTCACAATTCTCGTCACCATAAATGTAAGCAGAGTCTCACACAAACAAGATAAAAGGAGCTGAGCCTTTCAAATAAAGGAAAAAAGCAACATAAGGAAGCTAAAATAAAAGCCTATCAGATTTTCTACAGGTTTTTGTAGTCTTACATTTCTCACTCCTATAATTCATAAAGGTACTTAGCAAACAGTAAAGTGTGGAAAACTCATCCTAAAAGCATCTATAGAAGTCAATAGAAGAGTGCATGTGATAAGGTTACACCATTTTTCCATAATCTTTGCTTGCTGCTGTCCCTTTCCACGCCATGTGTGGATCAGTCCTGTCACTTCAGAGGACAAGAAAACAACATGCATCATACTATTTTCTATCATCACTACCTGAAGTCTCTGTTTCAGCTGGTATTTCTACTCGTTAATAAACTATAATACCCCTCCAAAATAACAGACCCATTATTTTAAACTAAACAAAGAAACAAAAAATTAAGAATGAGTCATACTAATGCTTTAAGAAAGAAAAAAAAAAGGGGAGGGGTGTGGATTTACTTTTTGCTTTTTACAGTATATTCTTTCTTCCTCCTTTAGTCACAGTAAGTTTTTCTTTCATCTCAAGGACCAAAGTTTGCAGGACCCCTGAGAGCTGCTTTAATACACCAAAAATAGCAAAAAGCAAAACAACTATGGTACAGCCTTAAAGGAAAGGCGAGTCAACCAGACTCCTGTATGCTACATCTCTGTCATCCAGATTTTCTGTAGACATTTTTCTTCACACTGCTTTGCAGAATAATTAGTGGTTTAGGTATCATATATATAACTATATACAAGCAGGATGAGGTCAATGTATATCAATAGCTTACACAGTCAACTGACTAGGTCAATCCAGAGCAAACAACTCTTTTTTTTTAATATAACAGGGGAAAATAGCCACCAAAGTACTTGTATTTTTTCTGCTGCTAATGCTTTTCCCGTTCCCCTTCTATTACCCTTTCCAATAAATGTTTTTGCTTTGAAAAACACCCACTCTTAACGTTCATCAGTAACAAGACAGGAATAACTGCTGGGAATGAGTCAGTAGGACACAGTACAGGGCTCTGGTGTTGCCTCTTGCCTGATCTGAGAAGTTACCACAGCATTTTCCTTTTAGAGGTTTCTAGCACTTGGAAAATATATTATCTTATCTTACCCTTTTGGGGAAACATTTGTCTGCAACTGCCTTCCAGCTCTTGTCATGGTGCCCTTCCCCTCCACTTTTTGCCATCTGCAGTTCCTCTGCTTTGGTGCAAATGCCCCAATCCAGTGACACTTATAGTAATCAGTGATTTCTATGGAATCCAGTACCCCAATTCAAATTTCTCCCTTGTCTTGCATTCCTTGACTTCCCAAGAACTATGTATTGATTTTACACATTATCTTATATTATATAATACACATTGTCTTATAATATATTTTACACATTGAAGTCAACCTTTGCACTCTGAAAGTAGCTTTCTGAAATGAAGAAGATTTGTTTTTTTTAAAATATTCAATGCATTACAAAAACCTTAAAAGATATTGTCTGAATGATGATGGTTTGCTTAAGAAAAATAAATCCTTTACAGTTACACAACAGTATATCTCAGGAATTCAAAAACACCTTTCAAAATAAATGTCACAAAATTAGGTAAATATTACAGTACACTGTAATATTTACCTAATTTTAATAGAAAAGCACACTGGTGTGCTTTTCTATTACAAAATGTTTTGCAGGGCACAGCAAACATGACAAAGAGAAAAGAACACTAAAATGCAGGGGCCTTTCCAGAAAATCAGTGTCACGAACAAGGGTAGAGTTTTGCTCACAGATTTGATACCCGGTCCATTTCTTTTATCACTATAGTCCTTGTATTGTACCTAATCAACCAGTTATATCAGAAAACAGAATTTAGTAAAAACAAGCATAGCAAGCAACTTGGCAGAAAATTTATTAAACAAAAATATCACATTAAGTCCTGAGAAAAAGCCAAGTCTCTGAAAAGCCCCACTGGACGCAATTTACAAAAAGCAACCTTTGACAGACATCTCATAATTGCAAATTTCTCCCTTTCCCTCACAGACAAGCTTTTTTAATGAGACATTCTCTGTTCCGAAATTAATTATAATTTAACTGCATATCATTTGTACTTTAAAACAACAATGAAAAAGATTATAAAGACAGAGGGAGAAATCTAGAAAACAGAAAGATGCAGCTCCCCTACTTCTGGTAATTGCATTCCAGTTTTCAAAGCTGAATCAGGAAGACAGAGGGCAAAAGGACCAAGTCATCAGATCCATAGTCTGTACAAATCCTGAAATGAGACACCAGCTGGCAATTGTGCCAGGAAAAAGGTGCTGATGAGAACCACTCAGTGAGACTGGGATGTTCCTTGCTAACTGAAGCTTGATGCAGGTGCTTCAAGGAGAGATAGAAAAACAAAGATCAAAATCAATAATGTAATTATTTAGCCATGAGGTGGCTAACTAGCTGGCTTCTCAAATTTATAATATCCAAAGGAAAGACCACACAATGAAATCTGTTGTTTACAAGATGCGGGGTGGAAAAGCCGAAACCCTGAGCAGAAGTAAGGGTACAGTATGATAGGCAGCTTTTTGGTGATGGTGCACTAGCTTCAGCAATACTTACTCACCGTGGGGGAACTTGCTCTCGCTCCCATGGAACTCCTTTCAGTAACGTGTTCTGATAACTAAACTAGTTTGTTTGATCCAGACATTTACAGGTTGATTATCAAATGCCTAATCTTGCATCAGTTAAAATAATTGTAGCTTACTCTCTTGATCCCGTCTGGTCCAGTCCTGCAAGGACAACACTGCCAAGTTTATCTGACAGACAGAAAGTATCCCTATCCCTGATCATCTGTAGGCTTAGAATCAAAGCTATTCATGTTGACAAATTTGGGGAGAACAGGGGAGGTTGGTGGCACTGGGATGTGCTATTACCAAGCTGGAGGCAGTAGTCTGGAAATAGGTGAAATCAAGCACCAGTCAATGGAGAGCAAACTCTCAGAGCAGATGCAAAACT